TGTCACGAGACGGATTCGAACCCACGACCTTCGGTTAAATACGCCGCTACTCTACCACTTGAGCTATCGTGATCTTCGATCCACTCAGACACCAACTTCCCATCTCAACCTCACCTCTTGCTTTTCCCTCCTTTTTGACTTTTTATCTCAACCAATACCTTTCATAAATATTATTTAATTGAAAATTGTTAATTTGTCAATCTGACCACGAACTGTAATGGATTTAATAATTAAACTGAAGTATATCTTCACGAAAGCCCTCCATGGCCATTTCATTTGTCGCCGAATCAAATAGATTACACGACATTTGAAAAATGGCAAAAAGGAGGGAAAATTCGAGAAGCGAGGTTGAGATGAGAAGTTGGTGTCCGAGTGGATCGAAGTCACGATAGCTCAGGTGGTAGAGCAGCGGCGCATTTAACCGAAGGTCATGGGTTCGAATCCCGTTCGTGACACTGGCTTTTTTATCTCAACTAATACCTTTCATAAAGAATTGATTCAAAAGAAGTTATTTGATCAATCGGACCACGAACTCTAATCAATTTTCATAAATGTTCATGCTATATTTGACAATTGTGGCAAAGCGCAACAGCAGTAGTAAAAAAAGTTTATTTTACAAAACGATATTAGAAAATCAAATTCGTCAGAGTTGTTGCTGTTGTTGTTTTTATGACTTTTTAGGCGAAATAGATCTATTTTATCAAGTTTTTGTATAACAAGAAATGATTGAAAATTCAGAAGTGAACAACTAAATAAAAGGACTTCTTGGTGTAAGTGCAATTTCAACACACAGCATCTGTAAAGAAGGCACAATAAAAGCCAAGCTTTTGTACATAGTAAATATTCGTATGAAATGCAAATTCAACCTCCTATGCCGCATAATCTGTCTGAATATAATAACCATTAATATTTCAGCTCGGGTACAAAGCCCCTTTCTCTCTTTTCCTATTATACATCACCGTATAAAACACAAAAATAACGTTTCCGTCCTTAATTAGGCGTATTCGTTTGAAAAACAAATGTTGAAATTCAGAGGTAAACCTAATTTAATCGCCAATGGGCCGTGAAATTCTCAAATCTATAATTGTATTATTGGGATCGTTTATAACGAGCGCGCACCTTGAAATAATAATCAACTTATCGACATTCCGACACTGCTAAAAATTTATACGTAAAATGCAACAAACTGGATGTAAAATAGCACATGGACGATTTTGTCGTCGTTCCTGTAACTTACACCGGTTGAAAATTATTTATTAGTAATTTTTTATTATCATTAATACGAATTTATATACGATTTATAAGAAAACTCATCCTTGTGTCAATTTATGTTGATCACTTGGCTGACGAAGCTGACAATCGATAATGACATCATAAAAAAGTTAATAATTTTTGCATAAAGGACGTCTTCACTGTGACTCTGCATAATCTGAGCTTGTTTCATAAAGATGAGTTATTAAAGTTTTTACAATTCAATACAAATCGTTTGTTTCGATTGAATGCGTAAAAAGGCTAAAATTAATCGCCTGTTGTACATTAGCAATTCCTCCGATGAAATATGTACGAAGTTTAGCGACCAAATAATAGGTAAACCAGAGCCATTGCAGCTGGTATGCCGCATAATCTGAGCCATTTTCATAACTTTTCATTAACGTTTTCCTCTTCCCTTTTTCCTACCATCATATATTTGTACATTAAATCCAAATGGTTCAAGTTGTACAATTGGAAAATCATAACTAAGATAAGAGATCAAATTAAACACATAAAATTATACAATATTTATATCATTACAATTATTTACAATATTATCATTTTCATAAGTTATTTTCCAATTGGAACTAAAGATTTATATTTATCAGAGTCATTATATCCCTGATTATGATGACACAATCACTTCTGACGCTAAAAGAGCCGTAAATAATCTGATAAAAGAAAAATGGCAGTGCCAGTGGGCGGGGTCGTCCGAGATGCTCTTGGTGTCAAGAGCATGACCTGCAGATGACCCTACGAGAACCTGACCCGGAAACGAGGAACCGTCCGATTAAGAGGTTGATACACGGGCACCTGCTCCTGGGCCAAAGGATATGTCTGTTTGATGTGTTTTGTCTGAGTGCGTGTATTTATTAGCGTGAGCGGTAAGGGGCTGTGTGCATCCAGCAGTGTGCGTGTTTAGGGTGGATGACGGAAGATTTATTTACATTTAAGCACTCCGTCGACCCTAATTTGGATTAGATTATTAATTTTGTGTGTAGGACGATGGAGGAATATCAAGTACTCCACCGACTAACCAGAATGAGTGGTTGGTGTTAATGTAATAATTTGTGTCGAAAGTCCCTGGAGCTTAACCTCAGTTGGGAAGTGACGATCTTCTGAGCACCTGGCTTGAGGAGTATGCTAGCGAACAGCATAACGGGTTAGGTGAACTGAGATAGCCATCGGGTCACCCTTCGTGAAGAAAATCCGATAGAATCACTGAAAACTGGCCCATAAAACAATTTGTTTCTGTTAGACTTCCAATCAACTTTATCGCCTATTAACGAGAATATTTATTATATTTTTGAGCCAGAAAAAAATATTCTTTCATGACCAGGCATTGAATACATCCGTATTATATTTTTTAAGTTAAATTGCAAATATTTATTTGAAGTTTAGACGTTTATAGATCAATTTAAGTTAACCTTGTTGCATGTGCAATTTATGTGTAGGGTTAACATTAACTGGAAATCAATTCAATACTAATGCCAAAAGTTAACTCAACAAATAAATCGACTAGAGCATTATTTACATTTGATGAACATTAAATAGAATAATTAATTAAGGTTTTTAGTTGAGATGAAAAAAGTTAATGGCAAGAGCGGGATTCGAACCCACGATCTTCGGCTAGATACGCCGCTGCTCTACCACTTGAGTTATGGGAGGGGGGTTGAGATAGGAAGCTCTATCGTGACCTCGATCCACTCGGACATCAACTTCCTATCTCAACCCCCCTCCCATATCTCAAGTGGTAGAGCAGCGCCGTATCTAGCCGAAGATCGTGGGTTCGAATCCCGCTCGTGCCATTAACTTTTTTCATCTCAACTAAAAACCTTAATTAATTGTAATGTATTAATTGGTCAAGCGGGCCACGAAATTAGGGAATTAAATAAAACAAATAGATTAAAACTAATTATTTGCCGTTTACAAAAGACAAATATATTTCTTATTAATTTAAAAATACATTAAGTAAGTACTGATAATAGCAAATTGTTAAACTGCTCAGAGCGAATTTTCTCCTTGAAGTATAATAGTGAGTTTAGATCGATTAGGTCGATAGGATTAGATCGATTTAATAAGCAAAATGAAGTACACTTCACGAAAGCTCTCCGTGTCAGAACCCATGGGAAAAAACACCAGTATCTTCCAAGCTGAGATTCACGCAATTGAAAGATGTATCCAATTCAATCTAAATAGAGGGTACAAAAATAAGAATATAGCTATCATGTCAGATAGCCAAGCAGCCATCTGACTAAGCTCAAATACCATTAGTTCAAAGATGGTGCTGAACTGCAAAACCAAACTAAACATATTGGGTATGCAGAATAAAGTTAGCCTCTGCTGGGTCCCAGGACACATGGGAGTAGAAGGCAACGAGGAAGCGGACACCCTTGCAAGAAAAGGGGCTGCCACACCGCTGATAGGACCCGAACCCTTCTGTGGCATAGGAACCCACACTATTAATGAATACCTCAGACAGAAGGACAAAAAGAAAATGAGTGAACTTTGGAATTCACTTCTTGGGCATAGACAATCCAAGAATCTTCTAACCAATTTTGGCAAGAAAGAAATCACAGAATGTGTCAAAGGAAGCAGGAATAGACTGCGAATCCTAACAGGATTCCTGACAGGACACTGTAGATTAAATGGACATCTAAAGAAAATTGGAATAATCCAAGATGGCACATGTAGATTCTGCAAGGAAGCAGAAGAGACACCAACACACTTACTAACAAACTGCGGAGCTACATTAGCCCGCAGGAGGAAGTGTTTTGGGATGTACAATGTGACCAGGAAGAGCTTCAACCATTGAAACCGGGCCTATTAATCAAGTTTCTTGATGAAATAGGACTCACCGATGTGCTTTAGGCAGAGCACGGGGGATACAATAGCTCTCAAAGGGTGCAGTATATTATACCCTGAAATACTACATCTATCTGTCTATCTAAGCTCTCCGTGGCCATTTCATTTGTCGCTGAGAATCAAATAGATTACACGACATTTGAAAAATGGCAAAAAGGAAGGAAAATTCGAAAGGTGGGTTGAGATGCATTTAGCCGAGGGTCTTGGGTTCGAATCCCGCTCGTGTCACTGACTTTCTATCTCAATCAACCTACTTAAAGATTAATTAATTGAAAAGTGATTCTAGAGTTGATGACGTGTGGTGTCCTGCGAGTCGGTGAACTCGTGCTGAACCGGGTTTTATTGGGTCCGTCTTCACATGCGGGTTTATTGAATCAAGCGCGTTTCGGCACATCGCCATCTTCAGTGAGGAACTGTCTCGTCCGAGTAGGGTTTTTATGTCATTGTGTCCGTCGGTTCTCGTTAGGGGCGTGTCATGGTGTACAATGGTCGATCTTGATGTAGGTTATTTCCGTTGTTTTATTTAATTTTTCCCTCGGTGCGTTTTTGGTCAATAATTTTTATCATATCTGGTCAAATGACTTGTCGATCAATTATGGCTAGTAACCAATTTGAAACGGCTTCATTAATGACTTACGTACTGAACGTGAACTACGTATTTATATTAGAAAACTGTTAAATCACTTCAAATCATTATCTAATGTACAGTTTGTCTAGAGAAACTAGCTTTATAGAGTTTTCCTTTTATTTGAAACACGCACTTTACCAAGATTGGCCATAGTTAAATTTAAACTGTACAAAAATAAAACTAAATCATTTACGACATATTGCTTTTTTGAGCTGGTTAATTTTCCACAGCAACATCAACAACGAAACTCACTGACCGGTATTGTAGGCATTTTCACGGCGAGCTGCGTCCGTCCGAGGAAACATCCACTTAGTGCCCCTGTTATATCTGGATCTCGACTGGTATCCAAGCGTAAAAAAAGTCTTACTAAAATACACTCCAGCTAAGTATAGTTTGAAACGGAGTGGACCCTCCGAAAAGTAAACACATTCCCATCCGTTTTTATTGATTATCCTTGTGTAAATAGTTTTTTCCCTACATTTATCAAATCCAGGCTTTGTCGTACGTATATGAGGACTGGCGAGGAATGTTTCGATGCGTCGATCGTCTCGCTTTGTTTGTGTTCACTCCCCTCCCAATGTATGTATACATCTCTCCTCTCATTTTCTTAGCGTCTACTCCAACTTTCTATCCTCTTGTTATTGAAGCCGTATAATTATAGAAAATAATAAATAAATTAATACACATTTATGTGTTTCTTAGTGATCTGTTTTTTCATAATTTGTTGGAGTCGTGAGGAGCAAAAGAATGAGGTAGTTTAGAAAAACACATTTTTAATTTTTTTCCCGACGTTTCAACCTTTATTCTGGCCATCTTCAGGACAAAAGTGGTGCTATTCTTGTGATATGACGTTATATGATAATATGTGACCAAAATGACACCACAAGAATAGCTCCACACTTTATGCACTGAAGATGACCCGAATAAAGGTCGAAACGTCGGCAAAGAAATGAAAAATGCGTTTTTCTTAAACTAACTCATTATTGACAACTTCAACAAATTATCGCACGTTTATTTTACGGAGGAATCATTCATACATTATGCTGCGTGATCAACTACAGGGCAAAAAGTAGACACCCTCGTTTTGTTTTTGTTCTTAAATAAATACTTGCAATCGTTATAATTTTTATTTTTGTTGTTGACTGAATATTTTTAAAGAAAAATATAAAATATAGTTAAATAAAACAAATTTACCAATATGTTGCTATGGAAACATTTGAAAAAAATATTCAATTCAGTGCATAGCCTTTCCACCTCTCGCGTTGATTTTATGAGGTTTTGAATGTAGTGGTGTGGAATATTTTCGTTCTCTTCCAACAGTATGAATTCTTTGGCATCACTGGGCGGCTTTTTACCCTCTTTGACAACTCGTCCCAAAATATTCGATATGGTTTATGTCGAGACTATATGCTGGCCACTCCATACATTGAATTGAAGCCCGTTCTAAGTCACCAACGATCCAAGCTGTATGGGGCCTTGGATTGTCATGCATAAAAATAAAACCGTCGCCATTTAATTGCAAATAAGGAACAACTTTTGATAAAACATCTTCAATGTATCCTCGATGAAGATCAAGTGTGTGCCAAATGGAAATTTATGCCTGAAACATAACACCACCACCTCCATAGCTTCTCCATAGTAAAAGTGTTGCAGGGATACATCCTGTTCTCCAAACTCTCTCTCGCCCGTCAGGAAACCTCAAACTAAACCTTGCCTCATCCAGTTCGATTAGGTACTCAGCACTGATAAAAACTGCACAAGAACAAACACCAACTACTGGGTGGCACAAATGGCAGTTTCTATCAGTGCTGAGAAATCGTGACAAATTTGTCTGTCAGAACTTCTTTTTTTTAAGCGGTCTTATAACTTCTTACTAATCTTGCTAGCTTTAATGATGTGATTATTGATATAGAATATTTCTTTTACTTTTCATTTATATAGTTTTGTCTGGTTTGCCGATTTTCTCTTACAATTACAATCTTGATCTGAAACCGAAGTACATTTCACATATCTAATAATTTTTCAAACGCGTCTCTGTGAATGTTACAGTAACAAATATAATTTTTCCTTTTAATTGGCAATTCTTTACGAGGCTAACCCGCAGTTCAAAAACAGTTTAAATAATAAAAACTTCCAATAAACAATAGTCATAAAAATGGGTCAAAGGCCTGTTGCAACTCCGTGGACATTTTTCTTTTGTGACTAACATTCTAAAAGTGTGTAGAATACGGGCCTCGGTTGTGAAAAACAAAACAAACTCACTAGTGCCTCTTTAATAAAAAGAATATTATCACTTACCATAAAAAATTTAAAGAACTTTGATTATTATTAAAATCACATTTGGTTTTATGAGCCTGAGTGATTAAGTAGATGCGAAGATCGCATATCAAAAATTAAACTAGGGTTAATTTTTGTTTAAATTTTTTAAACCGACTTCTGTGTTAAAAATAATATATTATTATTTTCAATTTAAATTGGAACGTGGTATTACTATTCGTAATCTAATTTTGTTTATTCAAACTATCTCACTGGCCAATATTAAAATTATATTTTATTGATTTAAACGCTTATGTTGCTTGCTGAGTTTACACCAGCAGCAGTGTTCATATTTACTAAATTTTTTTGTTAAACAAATACTAGTTAAAAAACAAATAATTAGGAGTTAGTAGTTAAGCAAATAGTATTTTTTTACACCTGCACCATGACAATAGTTTCTTTTTAAAAATTGATTTCTTTAAGGGTAAAAATATTTTGAGCCATTTCCATAACGTTTTGTTAGCACATGGAAAACGTGTTAAGGTAAAATTTACAAAAAAAAAGTTACCTTCCTCATGGTAGCATTATCACCGTTTGGCTAGTACTATATGAAATGGATGTTTGCCCAAGTCTAGGAATAGAGGCAACACGTACTCAAGTGGGGGGAGGTCATCCATCATTCACGGCACGGCAGAAATCAAAATACTAAAGGCAACACGCTAGTCAACAAAATCGAAGTAGCGACACTTTCTTATGTTAATGATAACTAGGAACAATACTTTTTTTTCTCAGAGGGAATGGGAACGAATGGAGAACAGAGATAGACTACACCGTAATTTCAGCCAGTTGGACAAGAATGTCTTCTGAAATTTTTAAATTAATTCGATATTTTAACTGTCTTATCGTTTATAGAAAAGATACTGAAAGTCCATCAATGAGAAGAAAAAATCAAAATATATAACTAATTCCAATGATCTCAAGTTATTCCATATCATGCTTCCCCTTTTTATAAAACCTCGAAGAAATTATGTTATATTTCATCATTGATATCGCACTTAATATTGAAGTGATGCGAATCTTCTTGGAAGGGGGAAGTAAACAAAACGGGGTTGAATCAATGGGTAGTCGTGCGACGGGGGTGAGGTTGACGGTGGGCGGCGTCGGGGGTTGTTCGAGTTCGGGCATCGGGCTTCAGTCTCAGTGTGTGTCAGACCTTTGTACATCCTCCATCGTACTGCAACAACATGTGACATGCGTCCATCGTTCTTCATCCAATTCGTGTTCGCTGCGAGTCTCGCCTTTCCCGACAATGCAAACCGACCGAGTAAGATTTCCACTTATTTTTGCACCCCTTGTTGATTGATATGCTGTATAGTCGTTATGATCCAATTTACAACAGTGTACGATTCCAAGACGCAAGTTTATAACTTGCCAGTAGTTAAATTTTAAATTAAATTGTATTTTTTAATTGTTACTGTCGATTAGATATATCTATGAGCTAGACCACCTATCATTTTTCAAAACCAAATATGTTTAATGCTAAAATCAGGAGGAGAAAAAGAAAGCTTGTTCAGGTTGAAAGTAAATGGTTAAAACCAAGGTTAAAAAACCTGAAAATTGTTATTTTATTAACATCATGCACAATAAATTTGAACTTTCAGTTTCCAACAAATCAATGGATGGTTGACGATAGATCAAATCTGTCAATATCAGATTGACAGATATCCTCTGCTGTTCGCTCGCTGTATCGTCTGCTTTCACACCCTTGATTTTAATTTTAGGCCGTTTCTTCTTTTTCCCAGCGACAAACTACGGAGAAATTAATAAACTCTTTGTTTTCATTTTGCCAAAATTTTATGAAAGTAGCGTTTTGTTACCGGTTAGTTACTTCCCGCAAAAATCGTCTCGATGTAATTTCAACTGCTTGGACAGGACAAAAGGTCTTTTCAGACAATACATGTTACCAAACACAACGGCCTGCAAGTCTCATGCTGTTGAATATGTAGTTGAATACGAATTCTATTGTGGTTGGCACCTCGTCCGTACATGCATATTTTAATTGGCCAAATACGGCGCTACTGAGTTAAAACTTAATGGTTTCGAGCTTAACTGGCAATATTTTATCGTTGAACTTAAAAAAAGAGCTGGTATTGTAAGCTTAGACTTTCCTTTTTTCCATTTTAATTTATTATTATTTTATTATAAAATTGAGGTAGCCGGACTTCATATCCATATCAAATTGCCATTATTTATAAAATAAAATATGTAGCTTTAGTTAAATAATAAACCAAATTTATTTAGAAATCGTGAGATGCGGTCTGGTATGATGTAGGTTTCAGAAAAACATTTTCTTTATCGTGCCAACGTTTCGATCTTTATTGAGATCATCTTCAGGGCCTGGGATTTACAAACATTGTTTACATATTACAATCCCAGGCCCTGAAGATGATCTCAATAAAGATTGAAACGTTGGCACGATAAAGAAAATGTTTTTCTGAAACCTTCATCACACAGACCGCATCTCACGATTTCTAAATAAATATCGATTAACGGTCACTAATCGCCACAAATAAACCAAATTTTGATGTGGTAAGATTAATGAAGCATAATGTAAATGAAAATTGGGAAAATACTGGGTATAGACTCCTGCCAAATTACTTCTTGGTCCCTGGTCTACAGATAGTCGAGAAGGGAAAACGCCATTCTTATTAGATTACGCATAGGTCATATCAGGCTTACACCTGCTGGTGGAAAAGATACCGCGTCGATTACGCGGATATGATTATCCTACCCAAAGAAACGTCGAGTACTGCGAGATGAAATTGTCTGGAGAGTGAAAGTAATTTATTAGCGAGAATGGAGCGGGTTGAACCCAGCCCCGAGGAATATCGACCAGATAAAATGGTGATGTATGCATATGTATTGTGTGTTTTGTATCTGTTATGTAGTTGACAACCTGAGGAACAAACGAGAGGGTTGCATTTTAGGATATCCACGTGTCTATGTTAAAGCATAGAGTCAGATCGAGACGCTCAAATGGCTGCAGGTTGAAAAATACGCCTGAATGAGAAGTACAAACATTATATAAAACTAATTATTCAGAAATGGTGAGATGCGGTCTGGTGTGATATACGTTTCAGAAAAACATTTTCTTTATCGTGCCAACGTTTCGATCTTTATTGAGAACATCTTCAGGGCTCAAAGTGTTTGTCTTCTGTGTAATTGTGCCATTCTTGCGTGTCGTGTTGAGAGTGACCAAGGGCACAAGAATGGCACAATTACACAGAAGACAAACACTTTGAGCCCTGAAGATGATCTCAATAAAGATCGAAACGTTGGCACGATAAAGAAAATGTTTTTCTGAAACCTACATCAAACCAGACCGCATCTCACGATTTCTGAATAATTATCGATTAACGGTCACTAATCACCATACATTATATAAAACATTTTAGTATTCAGAAAAGACTGAAATAAAGATTTATCGAGAACGAGAAAACTTTTAAAAGTCTTGAAGTTCTAGATATGTAATAATTAATTTAATTATGATTTTTGTACAACAAAATACATTGTAGATGTCATCAACTGAACAAAAATTGAAGAACTTAATGCGAAATTCCGAAACACATGAGAAACCAAAAAGAGAATATAAAATAAAAATATCGTAACATGCAGGTAGAGTATAGTTCATTTTAAATAAGACCAATGTAATATAGTCATAGACATTTAGTTGAAGGCACAAAGCGCAGCTGTCTTTCGAACTTCAATTTAGCCAGAATGCATATGGTGATGTTGTGATAATTATGCTGTTAATAAATATTTTATTATTAAATAAGATCATCGTGCCACTTTCTTTTTAGTCTTGTTGAGGTCATAGCTTTTACGGGCAGTTGGACAATTTCTACTTTGTGGTGAGAGTGTTGTCTGAAGACAGTAATTTATTAGCGTGAATTGGAGGTTTTAGACCCGCCCCGAGGAATGTCAAATACTCTGTGGGATACAGTGAACGTGACTAGAATTGTCTCATTACTGGATAGTAGATAGTAGATTATGGATATTGGCCTCATCCAAATATCCAGGACCACGCGCCCGACGTACCCATCCGGTTATCCCCGCAGGATGACCCTGGCATGTTTCGGAGGCGATGTCTTCGGCGCCCCGTTTCGGATATATAAGTGATCATATGTATTAATGGCAAATAATACATCATCATAGGCGATTTTTTATTTTGCGCAAAAAACCATTACTGGTAGGAACATTAGCATTCTAAAATTCATCAAATTAAATATCATGATATAATTATAAAAATTTAACAGCTATTTATTGTGATATTCCTCGGTGTTTTCGGCGAGATGATCTTGAAATTTAGTCGTTGCATGTTTGTTTATTGTATATATTAAATTTATCAAAAGTAAATTATGTAAAAATATTTAATTATGCAGATGATAGTTGTATCATTTTCTCAAGTGATAATTTAATTAATTCAACTAAAACTATAAATAATGATTAATTTTTGGTTGAACTCAAACTTTCTACTTTTAAACAGAAAAAATGTAATGTAATGCACTTTTCGTTAAATAAGAAAATAAATACTAATAATTTAAAATTTTCTTTTCATGCTTGTGATGATAATGAGTGTCCTTCCTTGCCCATCCATTTTGCTTACAATGTTAGATATCTTCGTGTCACATTGGACTCAAATTTGAGATTTAATTTACATATTGATTCTTTGGCTTCCGGTCTAAGATTTTTTATAAATTTAGAATTTTATGCAACTTCATGAAAATTGAAGTCTTAATTTGGTTGTTGTTTTTTCACACTAACGTTTATTCTGTACTATGTTTATTTATTTGTTTGTTTTGCATTATGCTTTTGTAAAGATATATTCTGTTTATTTCTCTGAGGGTTTCCAAAAACTCCTGCTGTCTAGTACAAGCTTTGCTTTTTGACATCATACCAAAATATTTTTTGTGGCAAATTTATATGTAATGTACATTCTTGCAAATAAAGATGTATCAATATTATTAATATATATGTAAAAGATTTAGCGAAGCTTAGCACAAAGGTTAAGGTCGTAATAAAATTTAATTTAATAAAGTTTACCATGTTTAGAAGTTGAAAACAAAGGAGAAAATTATTTCCTCGATGTTTTATTTACCAGTGTTTCTTTGTTAAAATTACGTGATGGCGTGAGAAGAAATCCCAATGGTCAAATCAGCGTACAACTGCGGACCAGAGATCCGTGGTCACTCTCAGGAATAAAAATGTATTGTAAAGGATATTTCCTGTATTTCTTTACTATAAGTGGGCTTGTGTATGAAATTTCTTATCTGTCAACCGTTTGAGTGAAAATACCAACAAACAACTAGGAGCTAATATATTATATACGACACCACAACAAGCTCCACACTTTATGCCCTGAAGATGACCGGAATAAAAGTCGAAACGTGAGCAAAAAAATGAAAAAGGTGTTTTTATAAACTATCTCATTCTTGATCGCTACTCACGACTTCAAGAAAATATCACTCCACACATCAAACAATTCTATAGTCTAAATATCCAACAATTTATCTCTTTTTCCCTTAAAATCCTGTCTATAATAATCCTGAAAATCTAACCAGGCCCGAATGACAAACCATTACATTTTTCCCATCCTTGTTCCCTTTCACCTCAAAGAAGCCTCCTCAGAAAAATGAATTTCTATCCCTAACTCCTTTCCCACTAGTTCAAAATCAAGCATAATAAAAAAAAAATTAATATCTCACTAACACTCTCAACACGACACACAACAGTGAAACATCTACACAGAAAACACACAATTTGAGTGAATACAAATACTTTGATTAAACCTAAAATTTCTATATTGTGTACAACATTGTATTGTGTAGTATATCTTAAATGTATTTATATAATTTAAACAATGTTAATAAATCCCAGACTCTGAAGATGATCTCAATAAAGATCGAAACGTAGCACGATAACAAAAACATTAATCTCACTAACACTCTCAACACGACACATCTGCACAGAAAAATGCAAGAAAATCTTTGAATTTTTGAATGAGTACAAATATTGTGAATAAATCTAAAAAATTTATATTGCATATCATTGTAAAAATTCGTTTTTACATCTTACATGTATTTGTATAATCCAAACAGCGTTTGTAAATCCCAGGCCCTGAAGATGATTTAAATAAAGATTGAAACGTTGGCACAATAAAGAAAATGTTTTTATAAGCCTACATCACACAAGACTGCAAATAATCATATGTAATACATAGAATAATATGGTTCATTTAAAAATAAATATCGCTGTGTTACGTTA